TTCAAGCTGGGACAAGAGGACACCGTGGTCATCACAAGCTGCACTCAGATCCAAGAAGGTCATTATAAATAAGCAAGGCTGTTTTGTTGCATTGTCTTACATCTTTTTCTTGAGCCAGTATAAAATATTGATAAAATGACACACCAGACCGGTGACCAGAAGTTTCACAAACTCACATAGCTCATGAGAAGTAGTAACTGTATCCATGTTTAAACCTCAGAACAGACTAGCTACAGATGATGGGCGTTTATTGGATTGTGTTCAACATAGAGGATCCTCTGAAGAAACAAGAACAACTTTTATCTGATGAAGCTAAAACGAGAAGGAACGTCCAACTGAAAAAGGGGTTAAACAAAGGTCAACACTGGGAAAGCATTGCTTGAACGGTGAGAGCTCAGACAAAGTACAATTCTGATTCGAGGCCGACCTCACAATCATGTTGTAATCTGTAGTCAGCTTCGACAGTGATTTAAAACAGACGCTAGTCGGTGTAAAAGCAAGCTAAAACTGTCTGGCGTGTAATTTGCATTGGACTAATACGTAAACATTTTTTGGGACATTTGACTCAAACAAGTATCCTCATTAGCATTTACATTACTTTCCTTTTATGCTTTAATAGCGTTGAAACCAGCACTTTTTATCTTTTGCTTGAGTAAAAACCTTGACTTGACGCTTCAACTTCCACAGACGTCTTTTAAGTATCTAGACTCTGTACTCTTTATTCAGCTACCAGCTCTCTGATCCAGGATGGTACCTGATCAGTCAAAATCCTGTTCTTGGCCCAAAAATGGGGTCCCAATTCTCTTTGTCACTGTTACTGTATAAGTGTAAACCTAATGTATGAACTTGTGTTGTCACAGAAGTAACAGAAACAAAATGTGCAAGTTATAATTTTGCTACTTCTTTTAGTAAATTTTTGATAGTATTTGAGGCACAAGAATGGGTTTTTATAAATTAAGTCAGTCAGATGGTTCCAGGGTTTGGATTGCACATCAAACTTGCATGTTGGAGCATGAACGATTTCCACTTTAAAATGAAAAGCCTATCATTACTTGGAGGAATGTACATCAGCTGATGGGAGATTCCTGTAACTGAAGCTGAATTCCAAAACAAACAAGGCGTTGCCTACATTCTGCCTTTAGGCAAAATGTCCTCTATGAATGTGTTTCTAATAAGGATTATGAATCAACTGCATTTCTCATGGTAGGAAATGCTGAAGCCCTGTGTTTAAAGGTCAGAAATATAGAACATGAGACATTTCACTACAACACATCCTTACTTTCTCAACTCGGGTGCCCTACAGCTTCTGGTGATTTCAGACTGGGCTGCATAAAAGAATAAGTGTTTTAGTTCTTATGCAACAAATAACTGGTTCCTTCTCCCTCCGTGTTCCCCCCATCATGTGGAAGCATTCATTTACTGACTTCTGTTTATTCCACCTTCCTTGTTCTTGTGTGCTACTGTCAGATTAACAACATTAACTGATGCAGAACCTAACAGAACAAGTCAAATTTCCTGTTAGTTGGTGTCACTTGCTGCACTACAGAAACTGTTCAGGCATGGAGGGGGAACCATGATGTATCCCTTTTTTTGTATAGGTCTGTATCACACTCAAACTTTAAACATTATCAGGGTTCAAACTCCTGTTTTATTTCAGCCAAATCCAAACATTAACATTTTTGTGTATAATTAGCTAACAGTTGTATGTCTTAAACAAGCAAAGACATAACAAAAAAATGTGGCCTAATTACAAAGTGATGATGTGACGTTCACGAACGAATCAAATCTTTTGAACCGGTTTTCTAAGTGAATGATGAGATGCCAAGTCCCTGTAGAGAGCCGTTCATCTTAACAAACCTCCCCGGAGGTCAGTCAACCGCACCCACTCAAACCCCACCCACCGCTGTGACGGAGTAGGAGGAACCATAGATATGTATATAAACACGTGTTTATGTATATAAACACGTGTTTATATACATATCTATGGGAGGAACACTAACCAACCCCATGCGCGCTCACGGACACCGCAGGAAGACGTTGCTCAGAAGGAAGAAATATCTTATATTATCTGCCCCATTTACAAACCAAACTTTTTAATAATGCTTCCATACAATTCTCAATAAACAACAAAACAAAACGAAACACAGATTCATTTTATATTCTTTTAACTTACAGACCTAATCAGACACCAACTGGATGTAGGTTATTGTAGTTCTGTAATACACTTGATTTGATACATTTTTAAAATATATTTAGTGACGTTGATTCTTTTATGTCTTTGCTGAGGTTGTTCCATATTCTCATGCCATTTACAGAGATAGTCATCTCCTTCATTCTGGTTCTAAATTTTGTTTTTTTATACTTCATTTCCTTTTAAGAAATAATTACTGACTTTTTTTTCAAACATTTTCTGGATGTTGGTGGGTAACGTATTTGTATTAGCTTTATACATTGTTTGTAATATTTTCATATTAACAAGATCATAAAATTTCAGTAGTTTATATTTGATGAATAACGGATTAGATGGATCTCTATAGTGATTTGTTATTAATGATTCTCAATGCTCTTTTCTGTTGTAGCGACATGAATGGCCTCATATTTGTGACCCCAAGGTCACAATTTCCCAGCTGGGTCAAGCCGTAACTTTTGTTCCACAGATTATCCATCAGGAGCCGGGAAGTCTGCCAGACATCATCTTTATCTGTCTGCTGTTCCGTCCCAACATGAAGGAAACTTCAAGATTTTAAAATAATAATTTTAAGATTATAATCTTAATAAACTGTTTTTACTGTTTATTACAATCATACAAGATTCAGTGAAAGTCAGTTTATGTCAAACCAGTTGATAACTTTTATCAGTTCGTCATTTATCACTCCAGTTACTTCATTAATATCTGACCCTAAATAGAACAATGTTGTGTCATCAGCAAATAAAACGGTACCGAGCAGCTTAGATACACTTACATGATCATTAATAAATAGTCTCCTCCTTGAACCGTCACCTTATCGTGGTGGAGGAGTTTGAGTGCCATAATGATCCTAGGAGCTATGTTGTCTGGGGCACTTTGTGCCCCTGGTAGGGTCTCCCACGACAAATTGGTCTTAGGTAAAGGGTGAGACAAAGAACGGTTCACAGGATCTTTCATGGAAGTAAATTCAAAGAGTCGGAGTACCCGGCCCGGAGGGTTACCGGGGTCCCACCCTGGAGCCAGGCCTGGGGTTGGGGCCCGTGAGCGAGCGCCTGGTGGCCGGGCTTTTGCCCATGGGGCCCGGCCGGGCCCAGCCCGAACCGGATACATGGGCTCATCCAACTGTGGACCCACCACCCGCAGGAGGAACATGAAGGGTCCGGTGCAGTGTGGATCGGGTGGCAGACCGAGGTGGGAGCCTTGGCGGTCTGATCCCCGGACAAGGAAACTGGTTTTTGGGACATGGAACGTCACCTCGCTGGCGGGGAAGGAGCAGGAGCTTGTGGCAGAGGTTGAGCGGTACCGGCTAGATATAGTCGGACTCACCTCGACACATAGCATTGGCTCTGGAACCCAGGTCCTACCTCACGTGGAGGAGTTTAAGTAACTCGGGGTCTTGTTCACAAGTGAGGATAGGAGGGATCGGGAGATCGACAGGCGGATTGGTTCAGCATCTGCAGTGATGCGGACGCTGAGCCGACCTGTCGTGGTGAAGAGGGAGCTGAGCCAGAAAACCAGGCTCTCGATTTACCGGTCGATCTACGTCCCAATCCTCACCTATGGTCATGAGCTTTGGGTAATGACCGAAAGAACGAGATCGCGGATACAAGCGGCCGAAATGAGTTTCCTCCGTAGGGTGGCCGGGCTCAGCCTTAGAGATAGGGTGAGGAGCTCGGACATTCGGGAGGGACTCGGAGTAGAACCGCTGCTTCTCTGGATCGAAAGGAGTCAGTTGAGGTGGTTTGGGCATCTGGTCAGGATGCCTCCTGGACGCCTCCCTGGGGAGGTGTTTCGGGCATGTCCTGCCGGCAGGAGGCCCCCGGGTCGACCCAGGACACGTTGGAGAGGTTACATCTCCAATCTGGTCCGGGAACGCCTTGGGGTCCTGCCGGAGGAGCTGGTGGAGGTGGCCGGGGAGAGGACAGTCTGGAGCTCCCTAGTTGGGATGCTGCCCCCGCGACCCAGACCCGGATAAGCAGAGGAAGAAGACGACGACAATTAATAAATAGTATGAACAGTTTAGGTCCAAGGACCGACCCTTGTGGCACACCATAATTAATCTCCCGCAGTTCTGATTTAGTGTTGTTTAGTTGGACAAATTGTTTTCTATTCTTTAAATAACTTCTAAACCATTGATGCGCCACACCTATTATTCCACACTGATGTAATTTCTGAAGAAACTTCGAGTGATCGATAACATCAAAAGCTTTCTTCAAGTCAACAAATATACTGATGAAGCAGTTTTTATTGTCTATTGCTGTAGATATTTTGTCTATTAGTTCCATTATTGCCATTGCTGTTGAATGAAGGAGCTTTTTGAACGGCTCTTTGAGGTAAATGACCGACAAACGAACGGCTCCCATGAAAGGGCCATAAATCCCATCACTATTACAATGTGTTCTTATCCAAGATCAGCGTGTTCTCTCGTGCACCTGCCCAGGCTTGCCTCAGTGCAATAAAAACATCTGTAGCAGGTTAACATGCTGGACAGACTCAACAAATGGAGCTTCAGCACAGAATAAAACTCTTGTTTGGAGGCAGCTGTGAACATTAAACACTGGATGTAATCTTTAATAAACAATCTAGGTAAATATTTAATTAAGCCATTATAAAGATGTCCTCTAAGACAAACAAACAGAACTGAAAATAGCAAGGTAAAGCACACCCACGCTGTCTGTGTTAGCAGATAACATGCAAACTCAGATAAGTGCCTGAAAGAACAGGAAATGTCATGAAAGAGAGAGTGACTATAAATAGACGAGTTGGAGTTTTGAAACCACTAAGATAGTTGTTCTAACTGTAGTTTACTTACTGTTGGATGAACGTGGTGCAGGGTTGGGTGTAGAGATAGGACCTCTTGGAAATGCTGAGAACCTTATTAGGAGTAGACTTGTCAGTGCAGCCTCTTGCAGACTCACAGCTGTTTTACTCTTCCGCTGCCGGTCAGAGACGAGCTGGTGAACAACTGTTTGAGAAAGTGATCTGCATTTCTGCCACAAGGTGCAAGAGAGGAAGTGCTGGGGGAGGTTTTAGTTTGAACGTCTTTGTTATTATTCTAAAAGCATGAGAACTATTTTTGGACACCACCCATTTATGTTTAATCAGTATGGGTGTGTGGATCATTGTGTATCAAACAAAGAACATTTACCAAGTTCCCATTAGGAGGACAGGAAACAACATTTAGCCACTTAGCTGTGTCACACAGCTGAACAAGGACCATCATAGCTTTTCAGTTTAGGAGTTTTTCTTCAGTTTTGACTTTGTGTTTAGTTTATTTTACTGCCTTACATCCAATCCTCACTCCTCCCTGCATTAACAATATCTTTGGTTTTTGGTCCCTTTGTCCAGTTTGATATTCCTTCTTTTGTTGCTGCTACTGATAGACATTTTTGGCTCTTTCTGACCCACCAAACATCTCCTCATTTAACAGAGACAATATGTCATTTGTGAACAAACTGGCTCTCCATCACCCAGCTGACTGAAGCTTGAGCGCTGCAGTATTTTTGCAGGATTTCACCATCAAGTTGAAAAAGGGAGAGATGTCTGCTGGTGCGATGGTACGATCTGTTGGGAGTCACCCATCAGAAAACATAAAAACTATACATTGAAATGCAACGTGGGAGCTAAAAACAACTCAAATGCCATCTAGTGGCTGTCTGCAGTACAAGTTTTTTAGGGCAGCAGTAGCTCAACAGGTTGAGCGGATTATCCAGTAATTGGAAGGTTTCAGGTTCGATCCCGGCACCAGACTGAGAATTCTGCTGTTGTGTCCTTGGGCAAGACATTTAACCCACCTTGCCTGCTGGTGGTGGTCAGAGGGACCGGTGGCGCCTGTGCTCGGCCTCTGTCAGTGCGCCCCAGGGCAGCTGTGGCTACATCGTAGCTCATCACCATCAGTGTGTGAATGTGTGTGTGAATGGATGAATGATACACTGTAGTGTAAAGCGCTTTGGAGTCCTTATGCTGAGAGGTGCTATACAAGTGCGGGTCATTTATTTATCTTTTTTTTCCCCACCCTCCCCGAGAGGCTAAAAGAATCAGATCAGAATGAGAGGGACACCAACGTAAAGATGTTTTTTTTCTTTTGCTGCTCCCAAACTCTGGAACAGTCTTTTTGAAAGGATGGCTAATGCTTTGAATCTTTCTGGTCCCTTTTAAAGATTTATCTTTTTAAATTGGCTTCTGATTAAAGTTGAGCAGCAATGATCAAGCTGTTTTGACCTTTAATCCTTTATGAAGTCGTGTCAGTTTTATTTCTGAAGCACTTTAGTGTGGCAGCTGACCCAAGTGATGTACAAAATATTTTCAAACAGAAGAGTAAAAATTTCTAAAGGAGTACAGACAACAGGAGAAAAAGAAAGTGGCAGTACATAGAGTATTACACAAATAACGTCACTGCTAAAAGCACTAAACTTCAAAACATTAAAAGACTGGATTTAGTCTTGATTTAAAACAAGAAACAGAGGGGGACTGTGTCACAAGAGGAAGCTCATTCCAAAGTTGAATAGCAGCGAACACAAAACCAGGTTCCTTATGTGCTCTCAGGTTCGGTAGAAAGAGTTGTTCCGCAGACCTCAGTGATCAGGTGGGTGTGTAACGGGTGAGTAACACTGAGAGAGATAGGAGGAAGCCAGTTCATGAAAGGTGTTAAGACCCGGCTCATAAAACTGCAACAGAAAATGGAGGATGAATACATTTACTTGACTCACACTCATCTATCCATCCATTTTTTTCCGCTTATCCGGAGTCAGGTCGTGGGGGCAGGAGCCTAAGCTGAGAGGCCCAGACTTCCCTCTCCAGCCACTTGGGCCAGCTCTTCCAGGGGAATCCCAAGGCATTCCCTGGCCAGACACAGACCCTCCAGCATGTCCTGGGCCCTCCTTTAGGTCTCCTCCCAGTTGGACGTGCTCGCAAAACCTCACCAGGGAGGTGTCCAGGAGGCATCCTGATCAGATGCCCGAGCCACCTCAACTGGCTCCTTTCACACCACACCAAGTTATTAAGTCATTGCAACAAATCAGTGAGCCACACCCACACAAAAAGATCACAACTAGTGGTTCTTCAATCTTCACCACATACAGTTACTGCTCTGCTTCTGTATTCAGTGAGTGACCTCCAAAAAGTAGGGTGACTTCACTGCATCCACAACACATATCACAAACACTTACTTCAGCCTTTGTCAACCGAAAGCAAATCAAACTGAACAAATTTGATGCTAGCCAATTTTTTTTACCTCAGACAGACAGTCCAAAAATAAGAGTATGGATGCCTCAGGATTTATGGATATTTAGATTTGACAATCGTCAGCATAAATGTGGTAATTTACTGCTTGCCTTTTCAGAATAAACCCCATGGGGAGGATGTAGATTGAAAAAAGGAGGGGTCCCAGTATTGAACCCTGAGGAACCCCATAAGGATGAGAAACACACAATGAGGAACAACTATTAAACTTCTAGCCACTAAATATGACTCAAACCAATCCAGTGCTGTCCATTTGATCCCAATCCATGATGTAAGACATTGAATCAGGGTGGAGTGATAAACAGTGTCAAATGCAACGGAGAGGTCAAGGAGCAGAAGTAAAACATGAGAACCTTCCAGTAGCTGTCAGAATGCCATTTAGTACATGAATATGGGTGTATTTTGTACTACACAGGGACCTGAAACTAGACTGAAAGTGATCCAAAATGTCATATTCTTCAAGGTGTTTGATTAATTATTCATGCACAGCTTTTTCCATGACAGGGGTGGAAGTTTTGAAATGGGGCTGAAATTAGAAAGGTTGTCAATATTTAAACCTGTTTTTTTTTGTTTTGTTTTATTGTTTATTTCAGTAGCAGCTGTATGACCGCATGTTTGAAGACAGATGTAACTACACCTGAGAGTACACTGTTAGACTTTACCTATCCACTTTACGGTAATAAACTGGCAACACTGTTGCCAGCATGATACCGTGATGCATGGTTAACGGTAACTTACCAATTAGTGTTGATCCCAGAATTATATCGTATATTTTATTGCTGTAAAAAACCCTCTGACTGCATGGCGGTGAGATACTGGCAACACTGTTGCCAGTAAAATACTGTAATATATTTCACAAGAAAATTACATCAATAACGCAATATTATACCGTGATTAATAAATATGTGTTGTGCTGTATGTTTATGGTATGTTACCGTAAGCTCATTTCAAGGTATGCTGCAATACCTTTTCCAGTGATTTACCGTAAACATACACTTTTGCTACTGAAAATAGTCAACGCTGTCAGAGGTTACTGTGTTTTTGTGGGCAGTAATTTACCTTTTTCATGTCATATTTTACTAAGATACGAGTAAACGGTAACATACTGTAATACAATAAAGGCTCCCAAAATAAAAGGTTTATACTTGTGCGTGCACACACACACACACACACACACACACACACACACACACACACACACACACACACACACACACACACACACACACACACACACACACACACACACACACACACACACACACACACACACACCTGCACACTTGTTTGTGTAATAGTTGGATATATTTAAGATCAAGATGTAAACAAAATGCACTGGATTATCTTTTTTTATTTGATTGCTTCCATTAAAACAGAAAAACATAATGGTATAGTGAGAAGAAATTGGCAACTGATGGTCATAATGTAAAAAACAAATGAATCAGTGACCTGTGTGACCTACAGCTGATAAATAGTCAGATGTATACAAAATGTCTACAAACCTTTCTTAAATGCAAGTAGTAGTTTACGTATTTGAATTGGTGTAAGAAAATGTTTGCGATCATCTGCCTCTACTAACAGAAGGTCACTTTTTTGTTGGACACCAATGACATCTTTCAGGTGGTCTGCGATGGACAGTACTTTCTGTCTCTCCAATTCCGGCAGGATGCATGTGATTTCATCTTCAATTTCCATCACTGAAATTTAAGGGGAAAAAATCATGAAGAAACTGAATGGTGCAGGGAAACAACAAAAAGATCTGCCATGTTATAAAGGGGTATTGGGTAATAATCCATCAGACTGTCAGCATTTACACACAAACTTCTGTCTGTAGGGCAGTGTAGGCAATAAAGTCCAAGGTCAATAAGGCGTACTGACTGATGCAATTCTAGCACAAAGTACAATTTAGAATCATTAACAAGTATCACAACTATCTACCCAAAGTCAGTGCTCTCACTAGTGTGATCTACTACAACAACATGACCTTTGACATATTTGGTACCTTTGTAGACAACTGCTGACACATCTAGCATGTTATGATTAGAGACATTTGCTTTTGTCACAGCATCCTGAGTGGCAGAGTTGTAAAGATGATGCCTATAATCATTCACTTCTCCAATGATTTGAATTGTAGGTGGAAATATTTGCCCTGGCATAATACTTTTTTTACATCTTTAATATGGATCCTCAGATGGACACAAAGAGTTTTAATATTTTGTCCAACATACCCACATCCAGGAACTTGTCAGCTAAGATTTCCAGTGAACTTCCAGCTCTCCTCGTCAGTGTTCTCCCCTCGTCTATGATTTCTGTGCATATGGGAACGAAAGGCAGTGAATGTTTTAAAAGTGGCTTTACAATTCTCAATTCCACAAGAAAACATGTAATTTGCATTGTGTTTATGGCTTCTAACATGTGAACTGAACAATATAAATTTGTGTGCACGGAATCTATAATATTTACAGAGAAACATTTTAAGTACCCTATATCTTCAATAGTTTCTTTTCCAGGGATATTTTAAGCAATACAACAAAAATGCATAGAAAACTAAACAGTACCTTAACAGTAGGCTAAATAGTCATAAAAGGCTCAAATATGCCTAAAATGTAACATCCCCTCAAAAAACGGAAAGTAGTATAGCTTTCACACTGGCCACCAAAAGGAAAATTATTTGACCTCAATATCAGAGTTAAACCTCTCCAACCTGTTCTGCATATCACAGCATGCACTGCCAGCAGCCTTCACCTGCAA